AATTGTCCAAGATGGACCAGGGGTACATAATTCTTAAAGAGTTTTTGTGATTGTTTTTGTTTTGTTAGCACCTGGACTGAGCCTAAGACAAGCTAAGGACATCCTAGACTCCCTCCCCACGAATTTTCTTGCATTTAGGGGGGTTAGATTTCTAGCCTGCTTGCAATGCACCTCATGTGTAAAGGAGCCCCTTGGATCTTTTCTGACGATTGTCGATCTGCTTTCAACACCCTGAAAGAAGCCTTCACATCAGCCCCCATCCTGATGCATTGGGTACCCGATGCCCCACTCATTGTGGAAACCGATGCCTCCGATTACACAATCTCTAGAATCCTTTCCATCCGTTGTGATGATGGAGAGATTTTCCCCATCACTTTCTGCTCAATAACCCTTTCAGTGCCAGAACTCAACTATGACGATAAGGAACTGCTCACCATTCATGATGCATTCCGATCTTGGCACCACTATCTTGAAGGTTCTGGAACCCCAATCGACATCATCACTGACCACAAGAACCTCAAGTATTAGGCAGCAAGCCTGCTGGTCAGAGTTCCTCTCCCAATTCCACATGATTGTCCAATTCCATCCTGGAAGACTCAGAGTAACACCAGATGCGTTGACTAGTGTCAGGGCACACACCCTGACTAGCCCGGACCTGGACCTGCATCCGGACCCAGACCCGGACCCACATGTGTGCTTCTGCCCCACACGCTCCACATGCCACATGCTCCAGGCCCAGTTCCTATTCTTCATGTGACTTCCAGGTATCTCCGGAAGTTTTCGCCATATTGGGGCCACTGTGGGAAAGTGAGAAGTTAACCTTCTTCTCACTTTCTGACCCACAGTAGGCAAGTGTACTTACCTACTGTTTTATCTATCCACTTTTGAGGTACTCTCCAAAAGTGTAATCCTGTGTCATGAGATCATGAGGAGTCATGACATATCACAAAATTTCATGACCCCTCATGACATGTCATGACAATTGAATTGAATGAGACATTTTTTACATTGAAAATTTTGGATTTCATGACAGTTCATGACAAATTGTCATGAACCATCATGAACCATCATGTGCTGACAAGGTTCATGACTGCTGGTGACACAATATGACATGATGTTCATGAACCTTCATGACCTTTCATGACAGGTCATGAAGGTTCATGGAGTGTCATGGAGTGTCATATGTTTATTTTGACCTTTCCCCATCATGTAAAATGCTATAATGTCCCATCATGGACATTCATAATGCTCCATGAACATGTATGATGAGTCAATGCATGAGATGTCACAAGCACTTATGAACTGTCATGTGACAGACCTTATTTGTGACAGCACTGACTGATCAACCTCCAACTCATGGACTTGTGTTGGCACTGCACTGAACCTCCAGCCACCTTTGCTGCTTGGTGTCAGAAACAGTGCTTGAGGGTATTCATGGGAAGTGGAGCAGAGTATGGCAGTGTGAGTGATCCTTAGCTGATAGGTTACTCCATTGCAAGACATCAGGGGGTTGGAACTCAGTGGGAGTGTTGTGTCACATGCTCTAGGCTATCCTGTATTTCAGGTGTAGCAGAGGGAACCTGGTGGTGATGTAGGCTCAAGTGAAGACAAGGTCAGAGGTGAACTATGGACAAGAGGACTTGGGGGGGTATTCTAGTTGACATTCAAACTGGGGTACATAGGTAGTATACTATCTACAATGCATAAATATGAAAGGGAGAACAGAAGAGGGGCTGGTGGGTCTGGCATCTGAATGGGAGTGTCATATCCATACAATCCCGACCTCCGCTCCGGGCTCCCGGAACTCCGAACTCCGACTTCCGGAGCCCTACTTCCCTTCCGTCACCTTCTCCTTGCCGACTCCCAAGAGGTTATCCCACCTCCGGCTCGGACACCACCTTCGGTCTGACTCCGGAACATTCCGGGTCCGACCCCAACCTCGACACCTTCCAGACGAGTACGCAAAACCTATGCTCCCGACTCCGGACCTCCGCTCCGGTATCCCGTTCACGTCTCCGTCTCCGGAACCTCCGGTCTTAGCTCCGACCTCAGACTTTGACCCCACCTCCGCTTATACCCATTGTATTGGTTAGCTCATTCCATTTAATTACCTTTGCCAATATTCCAGAGTTTAACCTCCGAGTTCGGACTTTCCGGACTTACTCCAGACCTTGCAACTATTGCATTGTCCATTTCAATTCCGCTATTCTCCCTCATTCCTATTTGGGCTGCTGCTTCCTTTCTATTCAGTCAGCTAGCCATTCCCGACTCCCATCCTCCTTCCTTCCTTCTTGGGCCTTGGCCCTTCATTCCTCCTTTGGGAAACACCATTGAGTCAAACACTTGACCCTCAGTGTTGTTCCTCTTTCCATCTCCCTTTGTCTCCTTTTGTCCTACCCTTGTTCCTTTTGATTCCGGACCCCTCCTTATATACAATGTACATAGTAACTTGTAACCTCAGTCCGAAATCGACTGGAATTCCCCCCAAGAGACTTTCCCTCTGCTAGATCCGAAATTAGGGACCCCCAGGACAACCAGCAATGGCACAGTGCTCCGCCTGAGTCGCTGAGGCCAAGGTCCTTCCATGCTAAGTCTCCGATTCCATTCTGGAGTCGTCCGAATCCCCGCGTTCTAACAATAGACAGGCATGTAACCACTTAAAACCTGCCTGGAACCACTTAAGTCATGAGCAATCATGACCCCCCATGCAGGTTCATGACATCTCATGAAATTCTATGATGGTTTGTCATGAACCATCATGACTGTGTATGACACTTCATGAAGTTTGGTGACCATTCATGAAATGTCATGACTTCCATGATGGTTCATGAACTGCCATTACACTTTTTGCAAGTTACTGCCACTTTCTTACCCACAGTAGCATTGTGCCCTGAGATGGGCTGTTACAGGTCAGGTTGTGGGTTATAGAGAGAGGGGTCATGGGGACCCAGGGTCATCCCCTGACAACTAGACGCTGGGACATCTATCCCAAAGAAGGGGATATGGACTATGCTCGTGTCAATCCACAGAACTTCTGACTGGTCTTCACTTCAGAGCAGCTAACTGTGTCCCTACAAGCCATGTTCCTAGCTGCCATGGTAATCTGGGCAGCTGTACTCATCAACACAGAGGCTCTCCATCGAGACATTCTGTCATCCTTCTCCTCCAACACCACAATCTCTTCTCCCCCAACCTCCCCAATTCCTGCTGGTCCGTTGATGCTGAAGGCCTGTTAAGGCTGGACAACTGCATTTACATTCCAGACTCCAATGACCTTTGTCTCTGCGTATTGCAAGACAAACATGACCACCAGGTCTCTGGACACTTCAGTCAAAACCAGACCTTAGAGCTAGTCCATCATGATTATACCTGGCCAGGTATCCACACCTTTGTCAAGAACTATGTGTCCTCTTGTACTTCTTGTGCCTGTGCCAAAGTCCCTTGTCACAAGCCTTACAGCTTACTTAAACAACTCCCCATCCCCAATCGCCCTTGGAACTCCATCTCCATGGATTTCATCGAACAGCTTCCCTCCCTTCTGGATTCACTTCCATCCTGGTCATCATGGACCACCTGTCCAAACAGTGCATCTTCATCCCTACCCATGATACCATCACCTCTCCAGAACTGGCCAAACTGTTCCTGCTCCACATGTTCTCCAAACATGGAGTTCCTTCCCACATCACCTCCAACAGGGGTCTGGAGTTTGTTTCCCATTTTTTCTGTTCACTTGCTAAAGCCCTCAACATCCACCTTCACTTCACCTCTGGTTATCATCCGGAAGGAGATGGACAAACTGAATGGATGAGCCAGAGGCTCAAGCAGTACCTGTGCATCTATAGTAATTATCAGCAGGATAATTGGTCCGAACTCCTGCCTCTTGCAGAGTTCACATACAATAAGGGCTACCATCCAAACATCACTGTTCACCTGGAGTGAGACTTCATCAGTATGCACCCATGAGTACTCAGTGGATCTCAACTCCCTCCATCACTTCCTTTGTGAGGAAATGCACCATGCTCAGATCTGTTACCAGGGCCCAGCAGACTCCCATTGGAGTCCCACCCCAGCTTTTGAGGTAGGAACTTCAGTCTGTGTAAAGGCTAAGTACTTCTGCTCCACCTGTCAGGGATGCATCCAGGGTGGAGGGGGCCTGGATGTAATGCCCAGCAGAAGGACCCTCTTGGGGTACAAAGGGGGCATGCATGCTGATGGGCCCAATGTGGGACTGCAGTCCCTGACCACTTAGACTGAAGTGGAAAATGTGAGAAGAAGGTTACTTCTTCAGTTCCCACTTCAGGTACATTTATGTAGATGCGGCTTGGGTCACATGATGGGTGCCACATCATCCTCGGGGAGAGCCACAGCCATCTGGGTGTCCCTGTGAGGGATCCTGAGAGCGTCTGCTGCAGGTGCGCATGCTAGGCATAGTGGGAAGCTGGACAGGTTAACAGTACAATGATACAAGGGAAAGTGGTCCATGTAGATAGAAGGAATAAACAGAAAGGGAGAATGAAATAAAGGAGAAGGAGGAAAGAGAGAAAAGGGGAGAAGGAGGAGAAGGAGAAGAGGGAGGAAGGAGGAGGGAGAAGGATGGGTAACAGGGGAGCAGGTGAGGTGGGCCCAGGTGGAGCCAGGTCAGGCGGGTGTGCCCTGACACCACCCAACCCTCGAAAAAGCTCTCCAAGAAAAACCTTGGCCCTTTGAGATCATCACCAATGTTGGTACCCACTCCCTCACTCTCCGCCTCCTGGACAACATGCGAGCCATCCACCTGGTATTCCATGTCTCACAAATTGAACCCTCTGTTCCAAACATCATCCCAAACTGCCACCAACCACTGCCTCTGCCAATAGGCAAAATGGAGTTCGAAATTGAGGAGATTCTTGACTTGAAGATTGACTGATGTAGATCCAACAAGCTGCTCTACTTGGTCAAGTGATTAGGTTATGAAGGGACTGATGAGGAGATGCAATGGCTCCTTGCCAGCAAACTTGATCATGCCTCCGACCTTGTCGAGGCATTCCACTCTCAGTATCCAGACAAGCCTGGACCCAACACTCCTTAGGAATCCCAACCCCTCTCCCATTTCTCCTTTCTCCCAACTCCTCATTCCCATTTGGATTTTTTCTGTAACTACAGCTCCCCTCACCTTACTAATTCTGGGCCTTCAAGGGTTCAGGCCTAAGAAAGGGATATTGTCATATCCATCCACAGTCACCACCTTCCATCACCTCCAGCCATCCCAGATTGCCTCTGCTCCTTCATCTCCAACCTCAGAGCCTCTGGATTCCGCAATCCCCTCTGACTCCCCTGATGGTCACCACCCACTCATTTCAATATATTACCTACACCTCCCTAAGTACGGAACTCCGAAGGTCTCTGGACAGCTCTGACATCTGCAAGCACTGCAAGTGGGAATGGACTCCTAGAGGGGAGAGGGGGAAAAAAGGGAGGGAATGCTCCAGCTTGCTCCCTGACAACTCAGGGAAGAAGAAGAGGGGGGGTGAAAAGGGTTGGGTGGTCCACTATACTAGATTCAATGTTGTTAGCTGTCATATCCATACAATCCCGACCTCCACTCCAGGCTCCCGGAACTCCGAAACTGACTCTGGAGCCCTACTTCCCTTCCATCACCTTCTCCTTGCCAACTCCCAAGAGGTTATCCCACCTCCAGCTCTGACACCACCTTTGGTCCGACTCCGGAACATTCTGGGTCCGACCTCAACCTCGACACCTTCCAGACAAGCACGCAACACCTATGCTCCCAACTCCGGACCTCCACTCCAGAATCCCGTTCACATCTCCATCTCCGGAACCTCCGGTCTTAGCTCCAACCTCGGACTTTGACCCCACCTCCGCTTATACCCATTGTATTGGTTAGCTCATTCCATTCAATTACCTTTGCCAATATTCCAGAGTTTAACTTCCGAGTTCAGGCTTTCCAGACTTACTTTGGACCTTGCAACTATTGCATTGCTCCATTCAATTCTGCTATTCTCCCTCATTCCTATTTGGGCTGCTGCTTCCTTTCTATTTAGTCAGCTGGCCATTCCCCACTCCCCTCCCCCTTCCTTCCTCCTTGGGCCTTGGCCCTTCACTCCTCCTTTGGGAAACACCATTGAGTCAAACCCTTGACCCTCAGTGTTGTTCCTCATTCCAGCTCCCTTTGTCTGCTTTCGGAGTACCCTTGCTCCTTTTGATTCCGGACCCCTCCTTATATACAATGTACATAGTAACTTGTAACCTCAGTCCGAAATTGACTTGAATTCCCCCAAGTGTCAGGGTTCAGCACCCTGCCCTAGGGTGCCCCAGACTCCCCAACCAATCCCTTCCTTCCATTCCTTCATTGTTGCCTTGTTGTTGCCTTTCTGTGTTGTGTATCCGCGCGCACGAGATAGCGTGGGAACTTTCTGAGCGAGCAGCTCGCCCAGAATGTTCCCACGGGTCACAGCCACAGTTCTGGGCAAGCAACTCGCCCAGAACGTTCCCACGCTTACTGGGCACTGCCACCTGGATGTTCCCTCCGGGTCACACTACACAACTCTAAGAGCTGTATAGTTGTGGGCATGTGACCCATTCCTTTATATAGCAACCATGCGGGGAGATGAGACCTTTACCCTTCTTCTCATCTCATGCCCCACATAGGCAAGTGTATATATTATCTTTCCTTTTACTATACATCTCATGCCCCGCATAGTGTGAGGACAGGTTAGATGGGGGCTGAGGTCAGGGAGCCTCCGAGTCCGAGGCCGGGCCCTGACACCAAGAGACTTCCCCTCTGCTAGATCTGAAATTAGGGACCCCTAGGACAACCAGCAATGGCACAGCGCTGAAGGAGAGAATGAAGGAAGGTCAGTTGGGAGGTTCAAACATGACCACCACCAAGCTGTTCCCTGGTTCTTTAGTTAGGATGGGGAAGTGTACTAGTATTATTTGTTGTAAATATAGCACCAATCCGAGTGTTTTGGCTAATTCTATTTTTATGGGTTAGTCTAAAGTTTCTGGGAATTGACTTACAGATAAACCGAGCCCTGCAGAGCTGTTCCTTTATTGAAATTTCTTAATTTGTCTAGGTGTAATTCTGTGTAGCATTGTTTAATTTGGAATTTAACTTGAATTAAATCTTCTACTTGGTGAAGTTTCAAAGATTCTACTCAGTTAATGGATTTGGATTGTGTCTGGAGTGTCCCTTGAGTTTGTTTTATTTTTGTCTTATTTTATTGCTTGTTTTAACAGTAGCAAAATAACTGTTTTGTGTTTACACTTTGAAATCTGGAGTGTTAACCAGCTCTCCTGTTGAAATATCTACTTAATATTTCTCTCCTTAATTGCTGCCTTTTACTACAGTGGCAATCTTAACTGTATATCACTTTTTCGCACTGGAGTGACAACCAGAAATGCTTGAGAAAAATAATACTCTATTTTCTTACTTCTCTGAGGGGGGTGAAAAGTCGCAGAAAGGGTCTCCCTTTTATACTCCTTGGGTCGCCTTCCTTTTTCACGCTCTACCTCGTATTTACAGGATTTATTTACAGTGTATTTTTCTCAAACTGAATAAAAAATGAAATTTTCATGCTATAGTTCTACTGTGCTTTGCTGCGCTGAACTGCAGCTCTACTGCGGTCAGACTGTGCCTAGAATCCTGATTGTCCTTCCTCGCCTAAGCTATTTTAATGGTTAATTAGAACTTGACTGTGCTGCATTTGTCACAGTTTCCTATTTCAAATTCCTCATATTTACCATTAAATTTGCTATGACTCGGTGATTCTGAATTCAAACTTCGCATTACTATGCGTACGGCTGCACTGAGACCTTCAGCTGATTTATTCCATTTTTATTCAGTGAAAATGAGACTTGAACTGAAATGAGTGAATTATTCAGGTTTAAAACCAAAAGAAAAAGTTGCTAGTAGTCAAGAATTACTCAAACGAATGTATTATAGCTCTCCACTTCATTAGAATATCATTCCCTAAAATTCCTGCCATGGTCCGTCGTAGTTTAGTGGTTTTCGTGGATTTCATTCATCTTCCTTGATTCCCCTTTGTATTATCACATCCTAATCCTCCATATGTGTTATTTGTTGTTATAGTAGGTCGTCTTCGATGATATCATATTTTATGTATTTTATTTAGGGCTCTGGACCTCTTGAAGCTGTTTTCCCACACGTTTTCAGGTTTCTAACTTCATGTCCTTGTATCTCATTCATTTCTGGATGGTTTCTCACGTTCTTGGTATCATAAATTTTCATTTATTCCCACCTTTCCAATGGTACTAAAGTTGTGTTCTATTTCTTGGTATTCGTCGAGTTAGAAAAAGTTTGCACGCACATTCGGTAATCATGTGCATCGTTCCCATAGTCATTCGTATGCGGGCACTGTTTCTGTTTAATTGTTTGGGATTTATGGTATGCGCAGGTGTTTATATCCTTCATATAGGCTTCTGTGATTTATTTCAGATTTTTCCCTCATGTTCTAAGGTTGTTTTGCACTTTCCGTGCTTTGTTTTGACCGGGCTCTTCCTTATTTGGATGGAAATTGGTCTTCGCGATTTGCCAAAGTGTGGATCTCGGTTCTGACAGCCAGTTCCCTTTGCATTGCCACCCTCACATGTCATTAAACATGTGTCAGGGCATACACCCTGACCTAGCCCATACCGCATCCACACCCACACTCGCACCCGCACCCGTGACTGCACCCGGCTGTTGCACTCCCCATGCGCGCCCTGTGCCGGATGCTCAGTGCGGCCGGATGGCCCGGACCTCGGGTCTCGGGTCTCATGTGACTTCCGGATATCTCCGGAAGTTTTTGATGTATTGTGGCCACTGTGGGAAGATGAGAAGTTAACTTCCTTCTCATCTCTGACCCACAGTAGGCAAGTTGTATATACTTGCCTCTCTTTTATATATCATCTCTGACCCACAGTAGGTTGTGCCCTGGACAGGGCTGGTTACACCTGGGACTGTGGACCATAGGGGAGGGTCATGGGGACCCAGGAGTCGTCCCCTGACAAGATGATGCAGATTTCTATATTCCTGTCATGGGTATAACTTCACAACGGCTGGACCGTTTGGGCTGAAAATTTGCATAACTATAATTCCCTATTTTTTATAATTTCCGTGTAAATTTCGTTGTATGTTGTAATTATGGATCCTACGCAAACATTGTCTTTTCCCTGAGCTCGGACTTTGGATGTCGCTATTCCCATTATTGGATATCTCATTAATGCATGATCCTTTTATTATGAAAATTTGGGTGGATTAAGATTAGATCCCTTGCTTTCTAATGGGCCATCAAGCTCGTCTCGGTCGTTACTGGTTAGCCTTTGCACTTGCTTTTTAAATGTTGTCCTTGTTTTGCAGGAGTTTTAGTCATATCTCCATCGTTTATGGGTAGTTTTCTCTGTAATTACTTTCATTGGGTCCGTTTGGGGGACATCTACATTTCCCATTATAAACACGACTTTGAATTTTGCATTAGTTCCTGAGGAATCCTTGTTCCATGGTACTTCCATCCTTGGCTATGTGTGCAGACATGGGAAAGTAGTTTCCGTGGAGGTTCTCTGATTGTTTCTATAGTCAAATCTTGGTCGATTGTCCTAATTCTTTCTTTAATATTTGCTATAAATTCCCCCGAGAATTCCGTCTTGTTGATGCTAAGCTTGAAGTATTTTTGCTAATTTTCTTTCTTTCAATTTATCACATATAGTCATAATAATTCGCAAAAATTCGTAAAAATTTATTAAAATTCAGGTCCTTCTATTTTCTCATATTTACTTGTCGTATGGGGTTTTGTGATTTATCTGGCATATTTCCATAATGGGTTTCCATAGTGTGACCGTTATTTCTCCTACAGCGCTCCACATGAGTCGCTGAGGCCAAGGTCCTTCCACGCTAAGTCTCCGATTCCACTCCAGAGTCGTCCGAATCCGCCCATTCTAACAGAGGCCAAGGTCCCTCCTTGCTCAGTCTCTGGTTCCCCTCCAGAATCATCCGCCCTCCCCCAGTTCTAACAATGCCAAGCTTTCCCACTGGGTTTTGGTGCTGGCTGGGGGATTTTGTTAGAGACTGGAGCGAGACGAAGGAGTTGTCTCTGTGGCGGAGGGCTTCAGCCTCAGCGACTCAGACCAGGAGCACTGTGCCAAGTTACACATCCATGCCCTAATTTACTTACTGGCAATGAGAACTAAAAAGGGGGATCAACTCTAGTTGATTTTATCACTAGGGTGTAACCTATCTGCAAGTTATGTATATATAGTTACAGTGAGGGTGGGCCCGTGAATAGTGGGACTGAGTGGAGCAGGGCTAACGGGGGTAGATGTTAGCTGACTGAATATTACTGACAAGTCAGGTTGCAGGTTTAGTGGAATGATGGGTTATAACCCACAAGCGGAAAGAGGGATAGGCCTGAAGGTAGACTTGCAGGGCAAACAAGTGAATTGCCCAGCAGAGGTGGGAATGCGCTAGCGGATGTCAGAGCTGTCCGGAGAGCTTCAGGGCTCCATACTTAGGGAGGCATAGGTAATATTAGTGGCAGAGGAGCAGAGGTGATCCAGAGGAGCAGAGGTGGTCGAGGGTGATGGCTGTGGATGGATATGACAGATTTGTTGATTTCCAAGGGACTTCCCTTGGCCATTCCAACCTTTGTATTAGATAGATACAAGTCCCATGACATGTATGGCAAATGCCGAGATGTCTTTCCTTATCGAATACATAACCCACAAAACCTTGTACCGTGATTGTAACCATCACACCATTGTGCCACCACTGTAAACTCGACCTGTAACCTCAGAACTGTCCCCTTCCTATGTCTACCTCGACATTCCTACATTCTATGACAAAACCCCAACAG